CTCCCTGAGGAGGCTCCTGCTGGGCCGCTCCCGGCGTGGGGAGACCCACGCTGCCACCGCCGGACTCTGCTCAGCAGATAAATGAAGTGCTTCTCGTTTGGGCACCTGCTTAGCTCATTTTTATTTTTTCCCCCTTTCCTAGGCATCGCTCTGTTCTTCTGAGAGTAACTGCAAGAACTCTGACCAGTGAGTAATGAAAAATTTTTAAATGTCTGTCGCTGACCCTGTTCCCATCGTGACTGAGTGGCATTATCGGGTCAGACTGATGACTTACTGACTGCCATCCGTTACTGTACTTTTGATACTCTAAGATCGTTACCAGCTTACAAATTTGACTTGGCTGGCCTTGCTCTGTAGACTAAGGTGAATGATCCGCTCTTTCACAACGGCCCTGAAGTGCCATCTTCTGAAAAGTCAGTTTGCAGGGTCTCTTCTGTGGCCAAAAGCGTTGTTCTGTTACATGGAATCCATTGCACGCGATCCACACAACGCTGCTGTGGCAGCTGCGCTGCCGGCATGTAATAGAAGCTGTTCTCCTTGTTTTGTACTGTAAGTAGATCTGAAAAAAACATTTCTGGTTGCATTGGAGCTATGAAAAAGTAATTTTAAAATAACTGGGGGAAGGAGGCACTTGTCTTTTAGGCTGGTATTTTCAGACAGGCCCATGGTATTAGGTACTTCATCTCAGTTAACTTTAAGTAACTCTTTGATTCATTTTTCAAGAATCCAGCGCGCCTCAGTTCTCTCTCCTAAGCAACAGTAAAGTACCGCTTTGTAAAAACATTTATTGACTCAGAAGCCAACCCTTACAGTGGGATTGTTTCCGTGTTCTCAGCTGGAGTAACTTTACAACTATGAAGAAGAGTCCTCTGAAGCTAAATCTAAAGGGTTTTTGCTCCATACTCTTACTGATTGCATTCCCTTTTTCACCTCAGAAATTGTGTGAAATTTATTCCCTGTCATAATTCACTGTTTGACTGTAGATATTTAAATCTACCTTCCTTCACAGGTGCCCTCAGAACATGTCGAATTGGACAAGTCTGTGGTATGTCTGGTAAGTTTATTATTAATCTTACTAACCCAGCATAATGTGTAAGTTGTTACAAACAGCAATTGTAGTAAGGCACTGGAAACGCTCTTTTCTCAGACAAGGTGGAGGAAAAGATTTCTCCTCAGTTTTGTGAAAGCTACCGGTGGAATATATTACAGGTGAGACCACAGGGGAGAGGGGATGTCAGGCAGGGTACAGCGTTCGCCTAGGGATATGTCGTCTTTCCTCTCGAAGTACGCCACAGTTTAACTGTAGGGCTTGTTTGTGCTTCCTAAATAGACAACTTTGCTGAGCACAGCGGCAGCTGCACAGCATGGACGTGTCGGGGCTCGGCACCGCGCTGCCCAGTGCACAGTCCTCAGCGCTCTCCCTTTTACGGGACAAGAGGTTGTTAGCTTATAGTGTTGCGTTGTCATTGTGAACTCAAGCTGCTTACAAACCTGTTGACTGGCTGTTTGAGTGACTGAAAGGGGCAAAACAGTGGGAGCTAAAAGGGTAAGCTCTTGTCACAAGTGGGTTTGTCTCTTGCCTAACACGGATTATAGGTATCCTCATGTTATTTTTATAGTTTGCATTCTGTCAATATATTAACTTTGATGGTAGCACGCAGAGCAAGTTGGTTACTTTTAGCTGTTGTTCAGTCTGGACTAATTGTGGTTGATATTCTTTGCTTTCTTAGAACGTGCTGATACATAGAACTGTTTAAAAATACATAGTTATGTAAAATATTTTAAGAAGGCTTCTATAATTAGGCAGCGTTGAAATCACGAAAGCTAATGAGCTAGTGCTGAGATTTATGCTACTGAGGTGCCTCTGCCTGGGTGATTTTTGCCTTCATCGGAGGGCGGCAGCATCCTATGAAGGGATGGTGATTTCACAGAACGCAGTAGCGTGCCGCTCCTGGAGTGTCAGGAAATACTGCTTGGCTAGCGACGAGGTAATACTCCTAGCACTGGAGGAATGTCTTGATGCAAAGTTCCGGCTGGGCAGCATGTTCTTCTCACACATGGTTTTAAGTGGCCTGAAAGTATTTTTCTACAACAATAATTTGCAAGAAAATGCATGAAAACTGTGGAAGTTTGAGGCCCTCAAATCCAACCTTTATACTGAGTGTAGCCTTTGTGTGTATCTGTCTCTCATACTAACAGAAATATACTCTTGTTAAAACTAAATAAAATAGTTATTAAAGAAATGTTTATTTTGGAATCATGATTCTTATGGGCAAGTACTACCTTTGGTTTGGAAAAAACAACAGAATGCTAGTGAGGCCATGTCTATACATATTTAAGGTGGAATATAATCCTAACGAGAAATTCAGGAGCGTGATCTGTCATACAGTAATTCCTTTCAAGCCACTATGAATGTACTTCAACTTTGTCCTTGGACCTACTTCTTTGCAGGACTTTCAAGCATTTCTTTTTACCTCTTCTTCTCATGGCATGTCTTACAGCTCACCTAGCTCATGAGAAGAGTGGGTTCATTTGAGAAATTGGGGGGCGGGAAGGTAGAGTTTCAACTGAGAGGAGAACCCGAAACACTAGCACGTCGACCTAGGTACACTACAAATTCTTAAACAATAAACTTCGTTAAACAATAGCTAGAGATAGAATTGCATCTTCAAGACATACTGCGAAATATAATTTCTGTGCTCATTTATAAATCTAGGTCCTAGAGTTATGAAAGTTTGTACTTGTATTTCCCTGCAAGGACATACCCACGCTTACTGTTGAAAGTGGAGCCATTCTCACTGCATAAAAGTTGAAAATACAACCCAAGATAATTAACATTTCGGCATCTGTGAGCCAGAAGGGATTGTACTGCTCATCAGTAGTACTTCAACTTGTGATTAAGTGTTTGTGATCCAACTTCCTAATTCAGGATCCAGCACCCGTTCAGAACTAAACCTGGGAGGTTTGGCCTGTCTTTCACCCATTTAGAGTGAAATATTCAACTCTGGAAGAAGTAAAACATAAGCAATGAAATTATGGTATTCTCCCTCCTTCTCTAAGGTTAATCTTGCTGACTGTGTTACTGCTCCTGCTCTGCGGGATCACAGCAGGCTGCATCAAATTCTGCTGCCGGAAGAAGAGGCTTCCAGTTGCGACCTTCCTTCGGCACCCTTATGACTTGAGAGCTGTTGCCATTGACAGTGACGGCACTGCCCATAGCACAGTGACCTGTAAGTATCCTCCGGGAGTCAACTATTCAACAGTGCTTTGCTATTGAACGTGGGCCTCGAATTCTGTGCCTAGCCCTCGCAATAACGGGGACTTTCTGATGTACTCCCAGAACAACTTTTAGCCCCATAGGATGGGCAAAAGAGATAAAGGAAGGTCATCAGGGCAACACAGTACGTGAGTGCAGAAAACAAATAGGATGTAACACTATTGAGGTTAAAATAAAGTCCGTGGTGGGTTAACCTCTTATGAGTCATCTCCCACATCTGTTCTTCTCGCCATTCCCTCATTTTTTTAACTTTTCTGCCCATCTCACTGTTCAACTCTTCCAGCCAAAGTTATCTCTAATGTGAGGAATTGTTCACAGCTGTTCATGTACGAACCTGACTGAAACTGCCTTTGTTACAACACACATGTACTATGTCAGGTATTTCGCAATAATTAGCAGATGGTGATATGCAGAGACATTTCCTCTTCTGACTGCTTTCTTTTGGAGAATGTATAGATTCCACCATGGGTAATTCTATACTGATAACTTTTAATATATAGTGGTCATGTTCTGACACTACAAAAATGGGTCCATAATTTCTTGGAGAAAAGCAGGATTAGCCCATTATATATCAATGCTCCATGCAGGTGTTTAATTTTTAATTCCTTTTCTTCACAGCATATAGCTCGTTGCAGTACCCTCTAAGTGCCCCTATTCCTTCGATATTTGTGGATATGGATAAGAACACTGTGTCCCCTTCAGCTTATAGTCTCTATGCAATGGATTTGCCACCTTCTTATGAGGAAGCTGTCCAGATGGGTAAACAATACATTGAAGTGGCACAGATAAGCCAGAAACTCAATGACATCCCCGGACAGGTGACATCAGGTGGGCTGAATCCCATCCAGTATTCACCTGGTAAAATCAACAGAGATCCAGCAGCACAGGCAAATTCAGAAAATTCAGAGGATGCAACACAAGAACAGCCGCAGCTCTGACTCATTTCAGGTGGGGGATAAAGGAACGGAAGAACTGTAAGAGTTAAAGAAGACATGAAGAGTTTGGTTTTATAAGCAAGTTATGATGCAAAGATGTTTCCTCTCGTGCCATTGTAATGATTTGTCAGAAGAAATGTTTTCTGTGACTGGTATAATGTTCTGGTACAGCTTCTTCAAGGATATGCAAAGAAGTAAAAGGGCAGCAGTTTAAAAATGCCTGTAAAAGTGGGACATGAATGCTTGTTCATCTTCTGATTAAAAAAAAAAATATATTCCTTGTGTCCAGCGTATAGCAATAAAAAAGGTCAGGGGAATTTTGCCGTTTTGGGAACACAGGCCAAGACTCAGAACAGTACAAACAGCAAGTTGTTATTCCGGAACAGAAGCTTCGCAAAGTGGAGTTGAAAGGGGAATCCTAGCAAGTCACACTGAATAGCCTCCGTACTTTCTCTTCTTTTGAGAAAGTTAACTGTGCAGAAAATTGCCAGAGTGCAAATTGCTACATAATGGCACATGCTCCTTAAACTGCAGGAAGATGGCAAACAAGGACAGGAAAGTGTGTGGAGGGAAATGCATTATGTTGTGTTTCACAACTAGAGACAAGGAATGAGACAGATGAGAAAAGATTTGGTGGTGGTGGTGGTGGTGGTCATGAGACTTGAAGGGATTGTTTTTGAGTTTTTTTTAAATCTTTAAACTTCTATTTTCAAGATGAGCTGGCTTGTGGGTGGGATCCTTTTACTACTTATTTTTGGCAATTAAAGTACAAATTAGTCTCAAAGAGGCACTTGCACACGTGGTTAAGTATTACTAATGTGTTTCAAATAACCCTCAAATATTTCAAAGATGACTTTGTTATCTGCTCAGGTGTCAGAGTCTCAGTCGGTACAGAAAAGAAAAAAATCAAAGATTCCTGGCAGCTTTCACCAGGTTAGTATGTAGATGAGCTCAGTAATGTGCAGGATGATAAAAAGCATGCTCTAGCTGTGCCATCTAGAACAAGTAATAGTACAAAATACCATCGGACAGGTGGGGCAATAGTCCAGAGAAATTACTCTTTGGGGATGAGTCTGCGTGAAGTACTGATAGCAAGGGTAACTGCTATGCATCATTTTAAAACTGGGAGCTTGGAGCTGATTACAGCGATCTCGGCCTGGACAAAAGTACGGGCTATGAGAGGCCTTTTCTTAAATGACAGCTCTTTCACTTTCTTGCCCCTCCCATATTCCAAATACAGTGTGAATTTCTTCCACTCCTGAGTAGTGATTTTCTTTGAATCCACTTTAGCAAGGTGCTAATTTGGCTGCCTTTAAGAACATGAGCGATCTACAGGATGGTTCATGGCTATGGGATGATCTATGGGATAAGAGCAGGAATGAACGCATGAGCACTAGGTGCTATTAACAAATGTAACATCAAGTGTGGAGTCAGGGTTAATGTTGACCGACCTTCTACTAACAAGAATATGACTGATGGTCTTCATTTTTGCTGAAGTTGCTTTGGTAGCTGTGAAAAGGGGCTACCTTCTGCAAATAATTAGGTGTCTGTTATTAATAAGCAGCAAAAGTGGTGGGCATAAAATCTTGCAGAGCTTTTAGAAGACTATTCTCTGACAACCATTACTGCAAGAGCTGCCGTGGAAACGAGCACGAATGATTTAAAAATGAAGATCTCTCTGCCAGCCAAGAGGACTGAGACTACACATTCATGGTATGCACTACACATCTCTGCTACTCACTCATGGTGCGTGAGCTGTTCATGAGTGCGGCTCCCTAGAGAAGTGTTGGTTCTATATTTACTTGCATATAGCTTACTATGAGGGTTGCAAGGGAAAGATTGGTTTAACAAATCTGCTTCTCTTCTGTCTCTTCTCTGTCATTCTTAATTATACTTCTGTTTTATTCTCTCCTCTGCCTTCTCTTTCTGTGTCAAGATGGAGACTAGGCATAACGCAGTGTAACTATTTGGATGTCTCTAGCTGGAAGAGGAATATATATATCCAGTCCTGGGTGTCGCCAACTTACAAATACAGCAGATGTATTTTTATTTATTGAACTTTTCTGTCAGGATAGTACTGAGGAACAAATCCTGTGCCTTTCCAAAGAAGAAATACCTGTTAGAGGGAAATGGCTGAGTGCTCACTTGCTAATAGAAGCAGGAATATAAAACCAGGCAAACGGAAAAATAGTGACTGACACCAGAGGGCTGTCCTTCACTTTTCAGTGTATTCCATTATATCACCGCTGGGAACAGCTTTGTAAGAGATGAGCTGTTGGCATTGCAAAGAGGCGAGGGCGCTTCTAAGGCTCAGTTTTGCTCAATTCTTCAGAGATTACTCTGCAGTGCAAGGACGGAGCTTGCTTGAGGAGGATGGAGGAATAATCACAACGGTTTGACTTCCCTTCTCTTCGTGCTTTTGCTTGCACAATGCTTCTGTCTTGTGAGTTGTCAGCAGTACCTGACAGACTACCTACCAAACTGCAAGGAGATCTGTTTCCATTTGTTTATGGGGGATGACGGTTCTAACTGCAAGACCCCGCTCAAAACCCTAAATGCCCGCAGAGTGCTTACAAGTCAGATCTGACTCCATTACCACCTGGATTAATAGAAAAGCCTGTCTCACTCCGGAACACCTCTGTTGCCAACCTAGCCTAGTTAGAATTGCCCTGCAGTAATCTGTCGCTCATGCCCTTAATTGCTTACTTGCACAAGTCATTATCCGGACCAAAAGAAAACGACTGGACTTGCCTCTTCTTTATGAAAGTACAGAGTGAGCAAAGTGGGAGTAACACCGCAGGAACTGAGTTTCTGTGTGTGTATGCAGGGAGCAAGTGTCGTTTGACACAGCATAGTGACTGAAGAACTTAGTTTTTTCCCTGACTTCCTAGGAAGAAGGGCACAATCTGGTGTTTTCTTTCTAACACCTAAGGAAAAGTCTTGTGTCGTCCCCAGGCTCTTGCCTTATAACCTGGTTCATTAATCCAAACATAAACTATTTGTTAACATAAACCACTGACCTAACCAGCCTGCAGGAACACAGAATTTTCTTTGCACTTCAAAAGCAGCTCAGTTTGCTCCCTACAATGTTTCAATAGTGATGTCTCAGCCTTTTATCAAAATCACCTGATTCCTCACGGAAAGCTGCTAATCAAAGCTGTCCCTGACCCTCTGTCTTTGAGAAGGCAGATTGCCCCCACACTGTTCATTATTTACATCTCTGCTTAACAGGTTTCTTCAGCTCAACAGCATTGCAGAAGTTATATCCCTCCAGACAGAAAGATCATGACTAGGGGATTTACAAATTCCATTTAAATTCCTGCAGCAAACAAAGAGCTCTCTTCCCATCTTGAGAACAGTTTATATTTGTGTAGAAAGTCCAGTTCATCAATTAGAATCACTGTTCCGTGGGAGAACACAGAGAAAATGACCCCTTCACGAACTAATGTCAGAAAAAAGAATTAAAAGGGCAGTCTCCTGAATCCTGGTCTACACAAGCAACAGCTTGAAAATGTTGCTCCCATATGCCTTAGGTAACACTAAATGGCAGGAAGCAGCGTGGAAAAGTGTGTCCTTTGATCAGCTGGGTCTCTTCTGTTTAATTGGGCAAGTCAGAGAAAGGCAGACTTTCTTCTTGTTCTTGTAGGCTTAGTAGCCAGCTTCCACTCCATATACCATTTTTGCAGTCTAAGTAGGAAGAGGACACTATGAGCTCCTAACCCTACTGTATGGTAAGTTAAAATAAACTTCTTTGTTTTAACTGATGCTTTAAAACTTACTAACCAAATCCAAAAATGTGGAATGGAGATTAATGCTCTGTCTTCATGTCTACTGCTGTTTTCTGTAAAGTTTTTTTTGACTTTTGCTTTGTGTTCTGCAAAGCTGTTTATGTCTCAGTGTGGGATCTGACTTTATAGGCCTAGAAAACTTTGTTTTGGTGTTGATGCTCTTAATGAGGCTCAAACAGCAAGTGGGATACTTTCAAAAGCTCCCAACCTAGACAGACATAGTGCTCCTTTGTGTTTATTCTACTGAGCATGTAAAAGGGAAAGGAGGGATAGGACTGTTCTTAAAACTTCACTTGTTCTTACCAGGTATGATGACTGGGTCCCTGGCTTTGTCAGTGAAAGTATTTGGAATGTGAATGGTTAGTTTGCCTTTAGATTTGGATTTTGCACTATTAAAGTCAGAGGAAACAAAATGAGATTCTACTGCAGAAAAAGAGTCTGGTTTACATTGAGTTTTATTCCTCTTAGCCACATATACATTCCCTCATGTATTTCCAAACAGGTATGATGTCTCAATTCCTGCTCAGAAATCTTGCAGTGTGGCCGTAGGCTCTTTAACAGCCATCAAATAGCATCCAGAGGTGGGTGTATATCAGTGAGAAGTGAGGTGATCTCTATGGATGTATTTCTTATAGCCAGTTTTTAAAATACTCTGAAGTTTCAAAACAAGACACTCCAACTGATACTATTTATTAGTGCTATCGTCGTCTAAACTGTGAATGTCTAAACCAGAAGTCTTTTGTGAGAAATGTGCTATCCCTGGGGGTAGTATAGAGTAGCCTCTCTGGAAGATCTAGGATCAACATATTTCCACTCATAAAGAATTAACCCATACATTTTTCCCCCTCAAAAATGCTTTAATAATTAAATAGATTAAAAAAAATAAGTTTTCCAGAACAGAGGAGTGAATTTAAATGGACAGATTAAAAAAAAATTCAATTACTTTCTAATAAGATAGTCATTCAAGCGTGTCTAAATAATTTTAAATTAATGTCTAAATAACTTTAGATTAGGCAATTAACAAACAGGACTTCACTCATTGTTAGATCTGCTTGGGTTATTCTGAAATTATTTGTCTTTGACAGGTGTGTATCACAACACATTTTTCACACAAGTCTCATGCCGTGTGTGTAACTGATGTAATATTACAGGCCCGTAAAGAAGCTGCAGGTGTTGCAGTGTGGTACAGCAAACAAAGGCAATGTATTTGCCATG